GCCATCCAATGCAGTAGCTAATAGCCATATGTGGCTATTGAAATTAAAACCTTATTTACTATTTAATTTCATTTGCATCTCATTTCCTGTTTTATTAGTCACAGTTCTACGACTCAATAGTCACATGCAGCTAGTGGCTACCGTACTGAACAGCCCAGAATAGAAAATATTTCCATCAGCTCAGAAAGATCATTGGACCGTACTGCTCTGAAATAAAGTTCTTTTAGGATGTTCTTTTATTACCCCAATGATATTATAAAAACATGCTGAGAGTCCCCAGAGTGTGATGTATCACGTACCGGCCTGCCTCCTCCAATCAGATGGAAGCCAAAGGGAGAAAGAAGTTGTATTCCCCCTTGCAAGATCCTCAGTGCAGTCTCAGGCTAAATATTGTGTTAAGAAAAGCCTCCAGGATGTGGGGCCCTACGAAAGAAGGATGACTCATCTACTAAGATCCATTTTAAGGCTGAAAATTCAAAATAACAGCTCTGAGAACGAAAGAGAATAGTAGAAATCCACTGATTTTTAAAACATTGCTTGGAACACCAGAACATAAAATTTACTAGAAGACGTGGCACTCTGGATTGTCCTTGGCAAGCTGTTTAGGTCTGTATTTCCACCTGCCTTTAATCCCTAAATTTGCATATGAGACAAAAGAAGGATCTTGTTCTAATCTAAGGCCTAGGCTTTGATTCCACAAGAGAATGTTCTCGCATTAGAATATAAACTAGAAACACTGTTATAATAAAATGTGATTATACATGATGAAAAAGTATACGAAGGCTGTGAAGGATGTCTCTGGAATTGGGGCCAAGGTTCACATATACTGCCTTTAGGCAAATGGCAACCGGCATTCCGGAGGATGAGGAAAGAGATATCATGAATGTCACAACCCGAAAGATTTTCATGGTGCTCATATAAACAGCACTGAAATCTGTCCACTGTGTCATTTCAACTGTGAGAAAACGGGTGCTGGGACTTACTCCACAGAGAGAAAAACAGACCTTGGTCTGATGCTGGTGTCATCAAAACATTAGTCTACTGGTTCCTATCTGGGGCCCAAATGTGCTTGTAAGCTATTGAACTGCTGACATCTCAGTAAGTCAGAAGTTAAAACTCCTGCCCAGGGAACAAAAGCAAAAGAACATGACAATTTGAAAACTCACCTTCATGGGCATTCAGCTAACAAAACCTTGTTGGCCTTCCTATTCAAAGAGCAGGATTCTTGAGACAGGGAAAGTGAATGAAGAAACAAGTGGCATAGCTTTGTTTTCTTAAATAATAAAAATTAGCCGAAACCGGTTTGGCTCAGTGGATAGAGCGTCAGCCTACGGACTGAAAGGTCCCGGGTTCGATTCCGGTCAAGGGCATGTGCCTTGGTTGCAGGCACTTCCCCAGAAGGGTGTGTGCAAGAGGCAGCTGATCGATGATTCTCTCTCATCGATGTTTCTATCTCTCTACCCCTCTCTCTTCCTCTCTGTAAAAAAATTAATATATATATATATATATATATATATATATATTTAAATAATAAAAACTAGTGAAATGGTGTAAAAAGATAAAAAAGACTGTGGGGCTATTTGCTTGTTTTTTAACAAGGAACAATGACAAATTAAAATCCTTAAATCATGAGGAAAGTTGACATTTTCTTCTGGAAGACCGGATGTTTAGGTTCAGAAACTATATTATAGTTAAAAGATCGAGCTTTCAGAAATCAGGAAATTCCAAAGCAAGCCTACAGCAGCGCTAACTTGGACCCATGACACATGGTACATATTTTACGGTCCGTATTTAACAAATAGCTGGGAAATGGAGGGGGGAAAATGTTCCACGTATTCAACATGGCAGAGTAAATGCTGTATCAAGCAGAAGAATTTCAAGATGTCTGAACACTACTCTGAGAATGCCTACTCCATTATTCTACCTTGAACACTTTGTTTTTAAAATTTTTAGAAAAAAATACATGTGTAAGATACTATGCACATCACCATTCCATAAACTTAGAGGTGGCTCCCCCGCTTTTGACAATTCTCTAAAAATCTCATAAAACAAATTCTTCTTTTCCTCAACTTGAGACCTTAATTTTCTCTCTCTGGAACTTAAAAATACTTACATAATTGTCTTCAAGTATGGCTTGACTTTTCTTCCTGATGAAAACAGCAATCCTGCCAACTTTAAAATTTATAGCTACAACCATACTTTCAAAAACACACAAAAAAACCACAACCCCTCAAAGTAATTATGAAATGAACATTTCTTCATCTCAATCCCACTGAAATGTACTCCAACTCAGCGTACAATGGAAAGAACATCTACCTCTGATTCTCAGTGCAGAATATCACATTTGGAGATAATATTGGTGTCTAAAAATATTCTAGTGGCAATCATACTCCAATCATCAATTTCACAACAAAGTAAAATTAGGGATTAAATACAAATTCCTCTGTGTTTAACAAATAGGTGGAAAATGTGTGTGTGTGTGTGTGTGTGTGTGTGTGTGTGTGTGTATGTGTGTATATACCACTTTCTCATTTTTACAGACTACACCCCAGTTCTCAAAAGCAGCTTCACAACACCTCATTAATTTGATCTCCTGACAATCCTAAAAGGTATACTATGGGGGATTATTTATTATTCCACTTGATAGAGCAGTAAACTGAGCTACAGAAAGGTTAAGCGACTTGGCAAAGCCTAAAGCTCATCAGCAGCAAATCCTGGAAAACTGATCCGACTGCCGACTCCCAGACCTGGCCTTCAAAAGGAAGTTCAGGTGCGAGTTTCATCTGGATGTAAAATGTGCAAAGCTGCCCCACGTCTAATGTGGTCTGAACAAGGCTTCTTTTTTCTCCCCCAACGTCACAACAGCTTGTAGTCTATCTCTGGGCTGGAAAAATGGGGGCAGTCGCCTGGATTACAGAGACTGCATTAGAAAGGTTGCATTTGAAAGTGTTCACATTTGCAACACTAGATGCATTTGAAAGCCTAGTCAATATAATGCTATAGTCAAACAGCTTCTGAGGTGAAGTAAACTCCGGATCATTTATCATTTGAAAAGAAGTTAAAAAAGTAATCAAGCAAGTGTTTCAAGAAGAGTCTAGGCTGGTATTTAAATTGTAGCACTGGTTACAAAACTTGTTCAAAATTTGAATTTTCCCAAATGGATTATGACTTTTTCTACATTTTCTCCTTGGCTCAGGAGACCACAATGAGGTGGCGTGGCAATGTCCCTTTCACTGTTAAGTTATGGGCTCGAGTTTACATCTAGCTATCATTTGTCATCAATAAAGATTACTTTTAAAGGCAGCATTCCTGTTCTTTAAAATTACTCAAGGATTTGTTTTTCTTTTCAATTCCTCAAGGAAGCAAGAGAAGGGAATGGAGAATGTGCCAACTAAAAATGTTACATGTGTTTCTCTATATTTTTCAATTATTAGGCAAACTCCCAACAGACAAAAATGATTATTTTTTTTCTTTCTTTTTCTTGTATTTTCCCCCAAAGAGTAGAGCTCGGCACAGGCCACATGGCGGTCACAGACTATGCTGCAAACCAGGCAGAATTTCTCAGGTCCCCTCTTCCAGGATGATGGACAAGGAGGCATCACAGTGTCCAGGCTTCCTTCCACAGGGAACCTACAGGAGGAAGTGAGCAGTGCAGATGGGGGAGTCATAGGGGCCAAAGGGATGGGTGGGTCTGTGTGGACAGTGTCACTACCAAGACAACTGACCATAGGAGCAAAATCAACACTGTGTTCTAACACCTCCACACACAGGTCACAGACAAAACAGTAGTGGAAAAACATCTACCACACAACAGTAGCCACCGCTGGATTCCAAATATATGTACACCATTGGTTCGGCATCACCAGCACAGCCAATTTTATAAGGAGACAATCTGCTGTTGGATAACCGAGCCTTTCCTCCCTAAAACATGTCTGTCAGTTCCTCAGCCAGGGATTGGTCTAAATCACATGGTTTTACATTCTGTTTCTTTTCAATCAGACTGTAATTGGCTTTACATTTTGTTGTGTTTTATTTTTCATTTGCCCCTGTTCTTGAATACATGTTCAAATACATAGTCCCCTTTATTTTTTATAGAAAATAGACTATATCTTATATATTTGAAGTTCGAACCATTTACATGCCACAACTACATTTTAGAGTTAGAATCAAACAAAAACTAGTTCCACTGTAGGGCAAGAAAAAATGGTGAGTGCCACACTAATAATCAGCTCTGAATAACTAAGCATAATATCTACATAGTGATATCTGTGAACGTAGAGATAGAATATTATAGAATATAACAAGCCCTGGCGGTAACTAAGTTGGTCATTGTCTAAGTAAGTCAAGGTTCTGGGTTCAATTCCAGGTCAGGGCACATACAAGAATAAATCAATGAATTCATAAATGAGTGGAACAACAAATCAATGTTGTTTTTTCCTCTTTCTCTCTCAAAATCAATAAAGAAAAAAAATTTAATAATATAATAAAATACATGTATGATAAAATAGCAACATAGAAACAAGCTTACATAAGATATATATTATAAAAAGAGAATATTCACCCCCTATAATTACATCTAAGTTCACAAAAGACAGTTTTTTTTTTAAAAATAGTCTCTATATTCTAACTTAGGAATATTGAAATAGCTGTATCTTGTGAACAGCACTTGCTATTTCAAATTAATGTGAGAAACTGTTCCCAAGCATACTTTAAATGTGCATCTGTTCCTGCTTATCTATGAGAGTTCAAGTACAAACTGTGGATGGTCATCCAAAAGCAATGACTGTCTAAGACACATGTGACCCACATGCTGTGCAGCCAAGGAGCCAACTACTTTATGGAGAGAGTAAGGCTCACACCTCTCTAACAGGATTGCTCAGATTTAACCTTGACCCAGAATGCACTCTCAAGAGGTGATGGGGTTGTGGGAGAAATTCCTAGTGTGTATTCTAGACAGACCAGCAGGAGGAACGCACGCAGCAATCGAGTCTTCCACCTACTTTGCGAAGCCAATGAAATCCTCGTGGTTGGTGTTGATGTAGGAAACTTGGATGTCAATCAACAGCAGTACCTGTAAGTCGAAGAGAAACGCTTCAGTGAAATACATCTTAAATATTCTCAAACACTAAAGTCAGCAATTGCCTGCAAATTATCTGCAGAGAATGTTTAAAGAATGCTTCAGTGAAAATGAAAAGGGGCATTAATTTTTTGGTTCATTAAACTTGTAATTTTTACTCTAAATTTAGAAATTGAACATCTCCATGAAAAGTCTGATTCCCACAAGAAAACAAGAGCATTATAACTGCTAAGACATGCACTCTTGGCCAACGTAACACAAAACCTAGAAATTATTCTCTTCCTATAAAATGTAGGAATGGTGTTCAAAAGAAGGGCATGCATGTTAAACAGGACACACATGTATAAAAGGACACATGACAATAAGGCCAGTGAGGCTGTTCAGAGCTTCCTCTCCCGTAGACAACATATGTTATAGCCCCAAAATAGCAATATCCTCTCCTGTTTTTCCTCTCCTCTTCTATTTCATTCAGCTCCCTATAAGCAAGCAGAAGCATCTCATTGACCCACTCAAAAATGCAATATACAAATAAATAGAAAGCCTTCTTGAGATCAATAAGCATCATCATCACAGCAAAACTTCAGTCAGTTCTCTGCTAAAAGATCACCTCATCGGGGATCCTCCTGGCCCATCCTGTCTTCTTACTCTTTGTCCTATGACTCGAGCTCATTTTCCTCTTGTAACACTAGCACTAGCTGACATAGGAAGTTTTTACAAGTCGTCTTTATGTACCCCATTTGCTGTAGCCACTGCTATATCCCAGAGAGTAAAACACAGCCTGAAATAGCATATGAATCCAACCAAGATTTGTCAAGGAGTGAACTGGATACATGTTCCAGTAAACATGAAAATGTACTGATCACAAGATATTTATATAAACTCTAAGTCCGAGACTTGGAAGGGCCCTCTGTAGAAGATATTCTTCAGTGGCAGACAAGGAGACTTAGAGAACAAGAAGAGAGTGGGACAGGCAGAAACTGTGGGAGAGCTTTATTCCAGAGTTACTCAAAACTGCGCTCCCCTTCCCAAGTTTCCATTTTGTTCTCCCAACAGTCCCCATGTCTTTCTAGAATGCTGAGTTTTGTTGGTAGGGAACAATGCTTAAGAATTCTTGCCTATGTAGCTCCAGAGCTCTGCTCTTAGGCTTTGTTGAATGAACTTTTAATGACCGCGATGAACTTTTAATGACGCTGCCTCCCTACACAGAAGGTGACACGGGAGTGCAGCAGAGCACTCATGGTGAAGCTCACTGACATAGTCTACATAGTCTTCTTGGGGAAGACTTCTTCCATGATCCTCACCCCACTCCAGGATGAACGATGATATTACTCTCATGTAGCCTACGTGTCATATTTTACGTATACTGCAGCCTACACTTTGTATGTGTGGTGTTTAGCACCAATTCCGTTTGCATCCCTTGTCAGCTTCCGAGGAACAGGGATTACATGTGTCTTGTTCACCACTTGATCCCCAGAACCTAGCACAATACACATAGCAAGTGTCTAATAAATCCCTGTGGCTGTAAATTTCAGAACTATCTCCCAGCTCTGAACAACAGCTTGTTTTCAAGTGCACAACTTATTCCCATGTAATTAGTATGTGGTCATGGTTTCTCATACACTACCCAATGCGGTGGGCTCTGAGACTCTGCTTTTGTGGGGAATCTCAGCTGGTCCCTTTACCAAATCTTGCTGTGAGACCCAAGAGGACCTTCCAAAATGAGTAAATGGATCACCCCAAACCCACCATCACTTTCAAACATAAAGTTAAAGCTACTGGATCAGAAATATCATACTTGTATGAAAAATTTCCTACCATCAGATAATTTAGTTTCTCCTGTAAATGAAGGCAACTGAAGAGTTAGGAAGAGTGATCTTTATTAGATTATCTATGGTAGTGCCTCTATTATTCCTATACCAAAGCCAGGTTCTGTTTCTCTCTCAAATCTACTTTGTTAGGAGATTGTATGAAAAAAAAAAACCAAACAAAAAAAAAAAACATCAAATTGAAGCACAAGTCAATTGTTACCAACATAAAGAGCAAAATATCTACATAATTTTCAACATTGCCAAGGTTGCCGTAAATATCTTGGACGTTCTCACACATTAACTTGGACTGCAGTGTAGGGGGGAAAAAAAGTGGAAAAAATAAAAACTACGGCTGTTCTCATTCATATTCCTGGAAACTAGGAGTCTGTGTTCATCCTAGGAAAAGAGCCAGGTCACATATGGGGAATGAAAAGAGTACATTTTTTCTCACTTTTTTCATTTTCCCAGTTTCTCAGTGCCTTTCTCACCCCCGGTTACTGAATTTGGAGTTGAAAAAAAGTAAAGCTATTCTTGGGGGCAGTCATCGCCCACAAAGCCGACCACTTCAACATGCACTCTCATGTTTGGGAGAACCTGGAATAATTGCAGGCACATACAGGTACTCAAAAGCCCTTTGTTTTAGAAAAAAATTCACAGACTGATTTATGGGTTTCCATATTTTTAATTTTGAAGAATTTTTCCTCCCACAAAGCTGCCAGAGCAGAAGTTTGTAATAGTTCCATTTTATATATATATATATATATATATATATATATATATATATATATATATATATATTAGAGGCCTGTTGCATGATATTCATGTAGGAATAGGCCTTCTTTCCCCTGGCTTTACTCCCAGCCACCAGGGAGCTGGCACGTCCTGGCTCCCCAGCCACCCCGCAGCCACCTGGGAGCTGGCATGTCCCTGCTCCCAGGCAGCTGGGAGCCAGCAAGTCATCACTTCTGTCCAGAGCACCATTCCAGTAGCTCTCTCAACTGCACCCCCTTCCCCTCATAGCAGGCTTCACACTGCTCTGTACCTACGTATGCAAATGAACCTCCATCTTTGTTGGGTTAATTTGCATACTCATTCTGATTGACTGTGGGCATAGCAGAGTGATGGTTAATTTGCATGTTTCTCTTTTATTAGGTAAGGTGTGTGTGTGTGTGTGTGTGTGTGTGTGTGTGTGTGTGTGTGTATCACTAATCAGTTCTAGTGCAGAGGCCTGAGGACACTGGCCACTCGACCATTATGGGGTGGGGGGAAGGAGAGGGAGGAGGAGGGCACCAAGGCAATATGGAGGCAGGACGCAGATGTGAGAGCTGTGCAAATGGACATGTTCACAAAGCTGAACCAGGCGTGCTTCCACCTAGGGAAGTGTTAGCTTCCTTGGGCCACCTGAGGTAGTCACTTGGGAGGAGACACCCACCCATCTCATCTCCCCCTGGGAGAGTTGATTAATCAGCACCTAAGAGGTGCAGAGGAAAGACAAGGTCCCTTGCAAGGAGAAAAGGTCATTCTTCCTCCTACCCACTGTATCATGGCTCTTTGGGAAAAACAACTAAAATGACTGATGAGCTGCAGCCATATTTGGGTTATTGCATCTCATCCTCTCAAAATGCCTACGAGTTAACTACCATCATGATCCCACTTGAAGGTGAGGAAACCGAAGTGGGAAGATGCCCACATACGTTGTTTATTTGTTTCTTTGTTTTTTAGGAAGATCTGGGTTCGAACTCGGGCCAGGGGAACTTGGGGCCCACAGCCCTAACAATGCTAAGAAACAGGAAGGCATTAACAACTCAGTTAGATATGAACACAAAGATAATAATAATACTACTTTTCCCTAAATATTGTTATCTCTCCAAAGAGCTAAGTAGGAAATCGTATTATTTAAATTTTCCAGAATAAAACCACTAAATTAAAATGGCTATCTATTTACCCAAAGTCAGTTCTAGCACAGATGATACTAGAACCTAAGTGTTCTTGGTCGGGCAGCAGCCATGACATTAGGTGTGGGGAAACTTCGGGGCTCAGCATGACATATGTGGGCTTGATTTCACTGACTCCTGAGTTAACATTGATTTTATTTATCGCTGCTAAGTCACAAAGCCTATTTGCTCCACTTTTGGCTCTCCATAGGTGTGAATGTTGGAAAACAAATGAAAACTATGAATACCGATTAATAAACTTTCAAAGCACTAAGATAAACAGTGATGAATCTGCAGCTCAGTGTGAGAACAGTACTGCTGGGCCTCCAGCCCCACCCTCCACTTTGTCCCTCTACTCCACCCGACCCTTTCACCTCAGCCTCCACTGCATGTGTTCCCTGTGCTCTTTCTCTCTCTCTCTCTTCTATTCTGCTTTCCTCCTCTGCCCACAAAATCTTGCAATAATAACTTCCTCATGTCACATACATCCCATGTCACATACATGAGAAAACAGGTCCTAGAATGATTTGACAAAGACAAGCTGTGACTTTGTGAGCACAGAGTACTTGCTCTGCTGTCACACCTGCAGCTGTGTCCTGGCCTCTACCAGCATCTGAAAACCATAGTGTTCCCCATTATAATGGCTTATAAATAACAGGGAAAAAATCCACCTAAATTTAAGAAGCTTTTATCTTCCTGGAGTTCTTCCTTTTTTTTTAATGAGTTATCTTCACTTGAAAAGAATCTTTTGGATTCACAGAGCCAAGCTGGAATGTCAAGGTCAATCCTTACACACCATATTCTTCTACAAAATAGTTTAGAAATGTTTAAAGGAACTGTTCTGAAAAGTTTTTCTTTTTCAATGAAAGGTTCCCTGGGTATGCTAAAGAATAGCTTTGCCCATTGTTCTCAAAGAAAATCAGAACACTGAACATTTTGCATAGCATTTTAGGAATTTAGGACTATCTTGGCTCCCATCTCTGGGCCCATTAAGATTTTAAAAACCCTGTCTTAAATAAGAAAAAGTGCTCTGTTTCTGGATTAGTGGTTTTCAAAGTGGGCTGTATACATGCTTGGGGTACACATTATGATCTATGAGGTGGTGAGAAAAAATAATGGAACTCCTATTATTGTGTTTTCAATTGTATTCTTCTAAAGTCTTTATATTTGTTTATATCCCTAACATACACAAGATGTTAGTATAGCAACACATGTATAAAATTTATAAATAAATAAAAAAATAAACATATGTGGTTGTGTTCTAACTGTTCTTTTTCCCATTACAATGCCGACTGGTGGAGACCAGCAGAACTCCTTGGGGAGACCTTACACTCCCATGAGGCCCCTGCCAGCAGGGAAAGGCCTCTCCTCACCTGGTCCTTGGTCTTCCCTTCCCGCTCCCGAATGTGGTTTGCCACAATCCGCTCCGTTTCCTCGCACAGCCTGGGGAAGTTTGCCAGCTGTCAGGAAAAACAGATCTGAGTGTTAATATTCCAAAAGTTAGACCACACCAAAAAAAAAAAAAAAAAAAAAAAAAAAAAAAGAGAGAGAGACGAGATATTTATTTTATAAAAGATACGCATCACAATTCCAGAAGCAGGAGTAGAATGCTCTAGAGAATGGTGGAGTAAGAGAAGGGGCTTCTCGAACTAGACAGAGTTAGCACCCGAGAAAGGACAAAGATGAAGGGGACTGGAATGAGCATGAAAAGATGACAATGGCTGGCAAGCTCACCATGTCTGTCTCCCGTACATGAAAAGGTCGCCCTTTCCTGGTCAGAGCACATGACCCGGTTGTGGGTTCAATCCCTCAATTGATGTTATGCTCTCACATCCATGTTTCTCCCTCTCTCTCCAAAATTAAAAATAAATAAAAATGCTCTAGTTGGTTTGGCTCAGTGGATAGAGCATCAGCCTGCAAATTGAAGGATCCTGGTTCAATACTGGTTAAGGGCACATGCCCAGGTTGCGGGCTCGATGCCCAGTAGGGAGTGTAGGGGAGCAGCTGATCAATGATTGTCTCTCATCATTGATGTTTCTATCTTTTCCTTACTCTCTGGAATCAATAAAAATATATTTAAAAAATAAATAAATAAATAAAAGATACCAGAGTTTGACTGTTCATTCATTTCCTCTGATTGCTCATTCATTTCCTCATCTCTTCTATATCTCTTACTTAAGGTGCAATATATTTTCTCAATTTAAATCATTCAAATTTTTAACCTCTTTCACTATGGATGCTGAATTAAAAGCCTACAGTTGTATGAAGGAGTTTACAAAGTCATCAAAATTCTAATCAGAGAGGCCAAAATATTGATCTACAAGACACCATCTTCAGACCTTTAGTCTCATATTAATTATTTAAATATTCTGATAAATTGATTTATATAGGGTCAAGGAATTAAGGCTTTACTACTAGCTATAATCATTTTATATTTCTACGTTTACTTTTTATCAGTCCTTCATTGAACAAACATTCACTGGGCCTGTGCTATAAGCCAACTCTAGACTCAGTTGACGTCAAAGCATCAATCGCACATGATCTTAAAAACCTTACAGTCTCATGTGGCAGGTTGATTGTATAGATCAAGTCTAATGCAAAAAAATAAATAGTTTATAAAAAGCAAGAAAAAGAGAAAGAAAGAAATTATCAAACCTTCTCTGAAGAGACCTTAAAGGATTTCATGCCTCAATTATGATAGTGAGGCTACCAAATAAAGCCGGCCATCTATCAAATGGTAAATTACTTCTACATAGTTCATTTGAATATTCTTAAAAAGGAAGAGATTAAAAATCAATATATATGATTTTAGTGATCAAAATTTTAAATATAGAATTCTAAGAAAAAAGTTTAATTGCACATATTCTGAGAGAAAGCAGTGCCATAATTTTTAAAAATACACATAAAAATATGTTTTAATAAAATCCAGTGTTTTGAGTTATTTAGGGTAATGTTTAATTATTTTGGTAGGACCTCAATATAAAATTTTAATTTTAAGCATGAACCACTTTTACCCTAGAAGGGGGAAAAAAATCACTTGAAAGACATTTCTATCCAATAAAACAAAAATTACACACTTATTAAATTTATTAACCATTGATTAATCAAATCATAAGAGCCATGCTATCAGATTTCCCTTGGAACAGGCATGAGACCAGGCAAAATTTCCATACCTTCAAGAGTAACTAGTTCGATGCCTTAAGCAAAGACTCAGGTCATTAGGTAGCCATCTGTTCATAGTTCCATAGCACACATCACTGAGAAAATAAACTAAAACCAGAACAAAATGTTTTTTATGCACATGACTTGAGAGTTGATTGGTTTGGCTGAACTACAGATATGGGATCTGTTTTGATCAAAAAGCTATAAACTTTCCAGTGTTAGCCACTCACTACAAACAGAGCAGCAATAATGATTTTACTGCTCCTAAAAGTACACAATAATTTTATTCCATTTCTGTCTATTAAAACCTGCCCCCAAATCCCTAGTAATCCTTTAACTATACATAACATAATGTTGTATTTATTCAGGAGATGAAAAAAGTATTTACCTGGGCACAAATTTGTTATTTTAAAAAAGGAAAAACCAGAAGCATTTACAAAAGTGATCAAAGATGAGAAACAATTCTATTATAAAGAGGTCGAGAAATTGTGCAGGAGTAAATAGTAAAATATGTTATCAAGTGTTCTGTATTTCAAGAGTGGCATAACGGGAAGTCTCAGAAGACCTAAGTGAAGCTGATAGAATGGAGAAGCCAGGTCCCATTCTGTGGCCTTGGGGAAAGCAATCGAAGAGGAAACAATATTGTTAACCCTCCTTTTCCATGTGGACAAATCCTAGATCTCTAAAGGTCAAATATTTTCAAAAATTGATGGCAGAAATGATGTGACATATATAGGAAGATACATGTGGTATGTTGGTATGTGCATCCATCATATATCTCACATACCATTTCTTTAAGCAGAGACAATGAAAACTCATGTTATTTAGCAAATGCAGGTCAAGCTGGGGCTAAGTAAAACTAAAAGGTATTCAGAAGAGACATAACCTTGCTAAGTTACTTCAGAAAGTACACAAACAAGAGGTCAGAGTGGGGGTGACACTATATCAAAATAATACCCAAAGATAATAAACAGGTTTTCAACTCTTTCCAAGTTTATCTCTGGTAAACATATTAATGAGTGGTTAAAAAGAAAAATCAAAACAGGAAATAAGAGGAAAAGCAAGGGTAAAAGTAAATTATAAATTAAGAGTTAATTACAAAGATCATAAATCCTTTAATGATTTGTGGGATTCAAAGATGAGATTACTGGAAATTATCCATAAAAAGAAGAAAATCTTGCTATTTTCCACTATATGGATGGGCCTTAAGGACATTATGTTAAGTGAAATAAGTCAGACAGAGAAAGACAAATATTGTATGATCTTACTTATAAGTCAGAAACAGAAAGACCAAGCTCACAGATACAGAGAACAGTTTATTGGTGGTTATCAGAGTCCAGGAAGGGTTTGGGTGAGCAAATGGGTAAAGGGAGTCAAAGATACAAGCTTCAAGTTACAAAATAAATAAATCCTAGGGATGTAACATACACTATAATGACTAAATATATATAAAAATCTAACATGTTAAGTGTTTGACCATCCGACCAGTGGCTATGATGTGCACTGACCATCAGGGGGCAGACGCTCAACACAGGAGCTACCATGACACACACTGGCCATTTGCAGAGAAACGGCACTACAGACCTGCCACCCAGAAAGCAATACTCGGCTTTCCTCAAGTGGGATACAGGCCCTACCACCACCCCAGAGTGACATCCTATCAAATTACAGCCAAAGCTGCCAAGACCCATGACACAAAATGTGGCCTACAGCCCAGCCCAGCCCAGCCCAAAAACAATGACTGTGGGTGCCGAGTAATGATGTCACATAGCAATGCCCAGCTTCTGTCCCCAGCAACTAGCTTTCTTGGAGTTTCTTCAGCTCATGAACATGACTTATTTTATAGCCAGGTGGAAACATTTTACAATTTAACCCAATGTCTGTGAAGCGTTTTCCCCTGCCTCATCTCATTTGATCCTCACAGAAGTCATGGAGTAGTGTGGAATCCTATTTTCTTTTCATTAGCCAGAAAACAGAGATTTAGAAAGCTTAAAAACTTGACCTGACTGAAAAGAAGTAAGAAATGGTGGACCTTGAAAATGACTTCAGGTTTCTCAGTGCACAGAATATAGTCAAACACTGCTGCAGTTAAATATTTTACCCTTTGTTTTCTCTGCGTAACCTATAATAATAATCTGTTTCATATTGATATTTTCTACTATGTTGCTGACAATTACCTGAAAGAGAAGTTGGGGTGCTTCACTGAGCTTAAAACATTTAGCTAAATTAAAAAGTAGTTCTAATTAAACAAGTTTATTCTATATATATAAAAGGCTAAATTGATTCATGCATGCACAATACATATAAAGCTCTCACTGGCACCAATCGTACAAGTGTGTTTCAATCTGTCATTGTCAATTGTGAATTTGGTTGTCACTTCTATTATAGAGAAAGGGCGAATAACGATATTAAAATATTTCTTATAATTAATTTCCTTTCAATGTGCACGAATTCATGCACTGGGCCTCTAGTAGCTAAGAGAGAAGGTCCTAAAATTTCTCATCTCAAAAATAAAAATGTTTTGTAACTATGTGTGGTGATGAATCTTAACTAGACTATTGTGAGGATCATTACATGATATATTTAAATATCAAATCATTATTGTTATACATCTAAAACTAATACAGTCTACATGCCAATTACATCTCAATTTTTTAAAGGGTTTAAAAAACAGACAACACCAACATCAAAAAGATGCTATTCCCACCCCTTAAAAGCCAAATCCCAGGCTTGAATTCCCTTTAATACCCAATAAAAGGTTTTTACTTTAATAAACAGCCTGATTTGAAACCTGAGTACCATGACCTATTACTCAAAGCATCTACTATACACAGAGCACAACCCTGTCTGTGTGACTGGGCAGCTGTTAGATGAGGTGAAATGACAGTCTTTTCACACAGAGTCAAAACCACAGTAGATCTATCCGGACCTAAGAGAAAACCCTACCTGAACAGGGTGTCACTCTTCTCTTTCATCCTACCACCTTTCATGGAAAATTAACCAAGTGGTGGCTTCAGCCACTCATCACCTTCCAAGTCAGTGAGATGTGATTTGTTTATTCTTTGGATTATTCATTCAATGGTTATTGTTGAAAACCTGGCTGTTTAAGGAGCTGGAAACAATGATTAGCTTAGCAGCCCAAGTTGCTAAGTTATGGAGCTTACACTCTCAAGTCTCTGAATTGTCCTCCTCCACCACCACTAAAACAACAACAGGCATATATTGTATAACTCATGTGGTCATGTGTGCCACAAAGGAAAACAAAGTTTGGTAAGTAGATGAACAGTGATGTGTGTGT